GAGAACAAAACAAGTAGAAGAAAACGACGGAGACGAACCTCTTCATCGGACTCGGAAAGTGGTGAGACAAGTAACTCGATGTTTGCTTTGAATAACAAAGTGCCTAATTGTGGAATGGGTTTTTGTCTGGAGATTTTTTTGCATCCATATGCATGTTTTGCGTTACTGATAGAGGCACTTATAGCACAACTCTATACTAATTTGAACATTTTCTTAATCAAGTCATGTCCGCATTCGAAATTTTCATCCACTCGGTGCCCTTGTCAGTAATTTTTGCTAGTATCTGTTTCTTTGACTAAAAAGTTTTGCATGACAGCTTATTGTATTTTTAACCACCATCAGCTACTAATCATCCAACATTTCAGTGAACGACACCTTCATCGGTATGTTTATGGTGTAGTAGTGTGAATTGTACGGTCTTACTTAAAATATAAATGGAGAAAGAAAAATTGTGATGATCAGCTTCTACTTGATTACGAATCTCGAGAAACAATGTTTGAGACGTTGCATGAGAAAAACAAATTGGTTTTTATAGATTTGAGAAAGCTTCTATTGTCAAGAAACTTGCATGCGATTGGATGCGTTTTCCTTTGTATTTAATCATATCTATCAGGAATGGGTCGAGAAGTGGAAAACCTCATCAAGGAAAACATGGAATTGCTTGATATGAAAAATGCTTTGAATATTGTCAAGAATGATCTCATTGCTCGAGTTGACGAATTGAGCAGGTACTGAATTTTTGGTTGTTTGATAAACTTAACAGTTTGTCACGGTATCCACTCATATTCAGTGAAAATGCTATCCTTCGTGATGAGGTGCATAGTTTCGAAATGGTACGGGTAAAAATGGGTGATAACATAGCAAAACTCGAGGAAGAATTGAAAACAGTCAAGCAAAAGTTGGCCGAAAAGGAGGCTGAAGAAGAAGTAAAGTTTCGTTTGATAATTTGTTAGTCGAAAGTTTTATATTTTTTTAGGAAGAGGTTCCGCTGGCTCAGAGAAAGAGGTTCACTCGAATGGAGATGCAGAGGGTACTTATTG